CCTTAAGTGCCTCAAGTAATACTTGAACGGTCCCTCACAAACAGAATACGTTGTTTCGCACTTTAGACGACTTCGTCAAAAGGAAAGAGAGTAAAGAAAACTTAGAATTTAAAGGCAATATAAGCAAGTGAATGTGTAAATGTACATACCTGGATATTTTGTCTCATTCTATTGATTGCCGAAAGCGAAGAAATGCAGTGATCGGGGTTGATATAGTGTAAGTGCCCAACACCCATTTCCCCACTTGGGGTGCTCGGGCATGACACCACCTCCACGCCCCCACTCATCGCACTGTTGACAAAAAAATAAAAAAAACAACATTTTAGTTAAAATATCTCCTAAAACTTATGATACATCGCATACAGCTCATATAAACTCATAAAATCAGGTAAACATGCTGACATATTTTTTTGGGTATAACCAGAGTAATAAACAATGAATGAGGGAACCGGAACCCCTCTCGACTAAGAAGTCTTCATTCATCTCAACTTTCCTGAACCAGCAAAAATGCCTACTTATTTTATACAAAGACAAATAAGATGCATCTCCATGAATATTCAAATATTAGATAGAAGACCTCCAAAGTATCTGTGCACTTGATCATCCGTCAAGAACCAAAGAGGTCTATACGATTGAAAAAATTAATTTTCCTCCAGCAGAAGCTTCTCCAACCCCGAATTCGGAGATGGATCCAGTAATTTGGAAACACAGAATTCTTCCATTTAAACCTATGCTAGATTATCGATTATTGGCGGAGAACCTGGCCCCTCAAAGAATCGATAAATTTCCATAGGTTTAAATGGAGGAAATCCGGTATTGCCAAATTGCTGAATCCGCCGATATATATATATATGAGTCGCTTTTATAGCGCTCTTTGGCGCTGTGCGACGCCTAATCGCCACAAAGCTCGGTCTTCCCACAGGTCATCAGGGAGTTGACAATCTCTTATCTCATTTAACACCCCCTGTCGCCAACCTCTCACTGGGCGTCCCCTACGTCTCCTCCCAGGAGGAACCCAATCAAGCATCTTTTTTGGCAGCCTCTCTTCCGTCATCCTATTGACATGACCATACCAAACAAGTTGTTTGGTCATGACGTCGAACACGATGTCATTTTCGACTTCCATTATCTGACGCACTCTATCATTACGGACCCGATCTCTCCTAGAAATTCCTGCTGACCTTCTCCAGAAATCCATCTCCGTTGCTCTTAGCATATCCTGTGTCCGTTTCTTCAGCTGCCAAACTTCACATCCGTATGTTAATATACTTTTGACTACAGCGTTGTATATCCTCCTCTTGTTATCTTTGGAAATCCGCTGATCCCAGAGGATTCCATTTAACATCGCTATAGCCTTCCTTGCTAAGGTGTTCCTTTCCCTGATAGCTTGATCCGTCCTTCCATCCTGGGTCAACCGCACTCCCAAGTACTTAAAGTGCTCGCAGCCTTTGATCTGCTGCCCATCCTCCAACTCAATGCTTTGCTGATCACCGCCAAAAGTCATCTTCTCAGATTTGGATATGCTGACTTCCAGACCCCACTTCCGATACTCTTCTACTAGCTTGCGCATCATGTATTCCGCGTCATCTTGATCTTGAGCAACCACCACCTGGTCATCAGCAAAGCACAGAGTAAACAGAGTTTCGAGATCACCCAAGGGGACACCCATACCGGAGCATTTCTTTTTCCATTCTTTTAGCACGCACTCGAGATAAATTTTAAATAATGTTGGCGACAAACAACATCCCTGTTTTAAACCCTTAGTCACATAAAATCCCGCTGACAACCCCCCATGGCACTTAACTTTGGTAAAACTCCCTTTATAAAATCGCTTAACAGCGTCAATCAACCCCCCGTTAAAATTCGATTTTTCCAAGGCCTCCCAAAGTTTCACCAACGGCACGCTGTCATACGCCTTCTGGAGATCCACAAAAATTAAATGCAGTTCCTGAGCTACGGCCATTTTCTTCTCAATGACCTGGACAATAACAAAGAGGTGATCTATCGTAGACCTGCCAGCTCTAAAACCAGCCTGCTCCTCTGCTTCGTGATCCTGCCATTCGTCCTCGATCTTCGCTTTCAGTATCTTCCCGTACACTTTGCTTATTGTCCCGGTCACTGAGAGCCCCCGGTAGTTGTTACAGTCGTCCTTCCTTCCCTTCTTTTTGTAGATGGCCTTGATCCAAGACTCCTTCCACTCCCTTGGTACCTCGTCACCCCTGATGCATTGTTGCATCAGTTTTCTGAGGCACTCAAAGAGCTTGGCAGTCCCGTACTTGACCAACTCGACAGGAATCCCACCAGGACCCGGTGCTTTGTCATTAATTAGCTCTTTAACCGCTTTAATTATGTCACAAGTGTGGATCTCCAAGTTGTTCATTCTTCCGTTGTCCGTGCTGTTGTCTCGAAACTCTGGGCGCCTTTCCGTCAAAAGATCTTTAAAATGATCCTCCAGTTTTTTAAGTGATATCGGAGAAACGATGTCGCGCTTCATGTCTCTACGTAAACCTTTAATCAACTTCCAGCTCTCAGCACTTTTTCTCCCCCCTAGGTAGGTGTTAATTCTAGAACAGTTGCTTTCCCAAGCTTCATTCTTCTTCCGTGTTATGAGGCTCCTAACTTTAGACTGAGCTTTCCTGTAAGCAACTTTATCTTCAGTCTTTTTAGACGACAAAAATATAAGGTGTTTTTGCCTCTTAAGATTTATCTCGTCTTCAATTTCTTCATCCCACCAGTAAGGATGCTGGTATTTATTACTGGTTTTGTGAACACCTAGGGCTTCTTTCGCTGCAGAGTGGATACAATCTTTGATGAACTGATATTGCTCTTCCGTGGTACCCGAGAGTCCATCCCCCAGCTTCTCATCTAAGCGTTTCCGATACAGAGCCTTGACACTAGGGTGCTCCAAACTTTCGATGTTATACCATACTTCATGATTTTGCGTTCCCTGACTCTGCTGTTGCTCAGGCATTGGCTCTTTATCTTTAATCCCTTTAACGGGAAACGCTATATCTGCTCGGAGGAAATGATGATCACTGCCGCAAGAGAGTCCCCTGCACACTGCTGAATCCGCCGATGCCCGAATGAAATTCAACGTTAGTTCCAGAATTTAAATAGCTACTAAAAATAATAGCTCAGTACAGAAGCACGACATCAGCGGGCTGATTATTGAAATTGATAGACTAAGCTATAGAGAAAGGAGATAAAAGAAAAATGGAACAATTCTGATGGTGGAAGCTAGTGGTTGCAACGGAAGAAGAGGTAAGTGATAGACTGCAACTGCAACCGACGAAAGATTCGCAGTTGGTAAATTATTCTCCTCTTTAGTCTACATATAAGAACCGCAAGTCTCAACCAAAAAGATCATTCATTTTTCTTTTGTCTCCTTTATCTATAGCTTTGTCTATTGATTTCAATAATCAGCGCGGAGATACCGTAAATTCGGCAATCGGTCCCGAATATTCTAGCATCTATCACTTAAAGTCGACGCTCGGCGTTGAACTTTCGCACCATGCGAGTGCATCCCACACTTGGATCTGAATTCGGTGGCAGTTAGTTATTAATTAGTTTTGGTTCGATTCAGTGGCGCGGACGAAATTAATCACTGCCTAGTTTAACCAATAACCACATCAGCGTCAGGAATCAAGCATCACGTTGCCACATCGCCCGATGGAAACGGATTTAAACACGTGTATTTCAGAGATCGTACCGACGATGGGGCAATACATGTGCATTTTGATATGAAACATAATTATGCCGAGAGGCGTACCTGCCACTTCTCTTGGAAACCTGGAGAGGGCTTCAGGATCGCGCTCATCACTGGAAACATGTTTCAAATGCAGGAAAAATATTTTCCTTGATTGGAGGAAAGTCATTTTGGCTTGGAGAAAAATTAGAAGTTAAAATTTTTTTCTCCAAATTTATTTTTTGACTCGAAAAAAATTTTTTGAGAAGAGTTTTTTTAAGTTCGGAGAAAATTGAAAGAAAAACTTCATTTGAATTAAAGAAAATATGAAACATTTCGTCAGAAAATCTGCTTCGACATTTCAAAGTTTTCCTCTAGGTCAATAAATGCGTTTTAATAATTTTATTTAGCGATTGTCAAGAAAATTTGAACCATTCTATCTGCTCCTTTCGGTACCCCGAGCCCAATTCGACTCCGAAGAATCAGTGCTTATATTTTTTTAGCAAAGTCACTAGATTGATTGGTCTGTAGAGCGTACTTCCGCTTCGTATTGAAAAGGATTTCGAGGATCCCATTTCGACGGAATTACACTTTCATGTTGTCAAAATTTACGAGTCGATCTCACTTTTCATAGTTCGCCGACAACGCTCAAAACTGCATAATGTACCATGCAAACTGTATTTTTCATCCAAGTGTGCACTGTATACGCTGCATGCGTAATGTATTGTATTAAATTCTATGATCTAAGTTTCGAACGAAGTCCTGCTTCGGTTCATGTTCACAGGTACAAGTATTCACAATATACATTAAAATGTGGCATCATTTCATGTTCCAACCGCTGGAAAATTTGCGGTAATTTAACTCCAGGCATACGGAGTGGTGGTTAAACTGAAACGATGAAGGTTCGGAGCTTACAGAACGGAGAGAAAAAGGTGGGGGAGTACGGGGTCGGATGAAAAGCTTCGAAACGTAAAACTCATAACACCGCACCGATTGGAGCACAGGTGGGCGACCTGCTCAATAGAGGAACGTTTTCAGTCACAACGCTTCAAAATAACGATGCACCAAGATGATTCTAAATAGAGGACAAAAAAATAATAATACAATTTTTCCTCATCAACTGTTATTGAGGTCACTTGACAGTGTCTTCGAAACCAATGAAATAAGGAGGAAGATTAAAATGTAAAAACAATACTAAACTTTTCTTAAATTCTCTATATCGGAAGCATTCATATTTACTTAAGGACCTGACAAGCGCAAAGAGTATGGTTAACCATTACATTCACAGAATATTAACGGTGTAAAACTGAGTGATAAAATGTCGTTATAGGCCGTGCAATGAGATGGTATGAAATAATATAGTTGAGAGGAGAGGTGCTTACAGCCAGAATTATACATCGCCAACTATTGATTTCACAAGTATTTTACCATGGATAGTGGGAGCATTCATATCATTACACCTCAGTTTGTCTCTTTCTCGGGCATCACGCGAAAACTGTGGAAAGTATAGCGCTGTGTTCATTTCTTACCTTGTGGTCTCATCGATTCTCGTAGGCGTAGGGGAATTTATTCATTCCAGACATGCACGGTTAACATTCATCACCTT